CAGATTTTACAAAACGATATATCACAGGCTGACTCATATGTGCTCAAGCATTTATTATCTGACTATTACAGAGTTTGCACAGTTCGAGTGACATCTTTAGCAGCACAAGCTAGAACAGGGGAGGGCAATAATTTTCACAGGGGCACCACTTAACAAATGTTGGTATATGGTCATGAGCTGGCTCCAATCCTCAGAAGGGGGGGAGGGGTTGGGGCAGAAGGGGCTGAACTGGGGACTAGCCTTCCCTCCAGTGTTGTCTGGGACCAGAGTCTTCGGAGTAAAAACAGCAAAGGGCTTGTGGCTACCGTTGCCTCTGCGACCACTTTGGCTGGCAGCTGCCTGGAGTTGCTGTGGCTATTCAAATGGTGCACAGCTTCGGCCCCTGCCAGGGTAGCACCGTGATCAGGAGCTGTGAGCCATTTATATAAGATCTTGCTGCCTGAGCCACTGCCTGGAAATTGGATGGCAGGGCAGTATGCTATAAATAGAAAGCAGCTAGATCAAAGTGTTAGGTGGGCCAGATCTGTCCCCCAGGACACATCTTGCCCAGCCCTGAGCTAGAACAAGCATAAGGAAGATATTGTGGGGCTGAGGTACCTAAGTCACACTCTGCTGGCAAGCTGCTGGGGTTGGGGGCTTAAGGATCAGCTTCCATGACTGCTCCAGTCACGGATCCCTGTGCAATGGGAACCCTCCAATGTCTGGGTAATTTAGCTTTAGAACAATTTAGGACTATGGAACTGATCCACATCCCAGTGAAGACAATCACAAGGCTCCCATTGATTTCAGGAGGCTTTGGATTAAGTCCTAGTTCAGTAACATGGTCAGGAGAATAAAGCAGCCCATGATCTGACCATCTTGCTGGAAGTGTTCACGCTTTTCCTGCTCTCCCTTTGTAACTATGAAAGAAACTATCAGCAGGACATTTGCATTTAATCTGTTCTGTGTCTGAGACAGATTAGGCAGCTACTCCCCAGTTTAAACATTTTTATGCTAATTATAAACAATTCAATGCATGTTTTATTTGGTACATTGTAATGGTTTAAGTGCCCTGTATCATGGAGAGGATGGGTGAGACACTCCAAAGCTAAGAGCTTGAAACTTCCACAGCATGAGCAAGAGGAGGTTGCTTTGCCATCAGAGGCTCCCCCACTTCTGGGGTGAGTTTATAGATAATTCCTTTTTTCCATGTTCTTGTTTCTTTTTTTAATCGAGGCTACATTGGTCTCATGCTAATAGCATGTTCATTGTAAGCGCCTTGTGAAAGGACCCTATATTCTTCTCCATTTGTACAGCACCTAGCACAATAGCGCCCAAATCCTTTTTGAGACATCTGGTCACTAAGATCCCAAAATAGTAATTCAAATGCCATTTTCTGCAGCAGATTAAGATTCATTGCTCAAAGGCAGATTAGTCAGAATGAAAATAAGTGTTTGCATGCAATTGAATACAGCTATTTAGAATCATCCACATCCTAGCTCAGACTGTCTCATGGAGCTACTGACATCATAAATCACAAGGTCAAAGTAATCAGTCTCCAAGATGGATCAGTCTGAGATGCAGAGAAGTTGGAGTGTGTAATTATCAGGCATGGACAAGAACACAATACTGTGAAAGCAGCCAATTATATTTACATTGTAAAAAATGCCAACATTTTAAAAAGCTAGTGATAGCTGATCTTCCACTCCAGAAAATACAGATATAAGCCCTTGGGCAAATCTGAAAAATGTATTGCTCATCATTATTTATCACTAAATGGCACTATGTAGAGTTTTTCCTCTACAACTGTGTATTTGATTGAGTGATAGTTTCTTCTACCACTTCTACTTATAGAGTGAATTATTATTTAAAAACCCATCTTTAATTGCTCTACATTATATTGATTTTTTTATGTCAGGCTTGTGTTGCTTACTCTACATACTTAGGTATAATAAGAATGGTATTGTATGTGAACTAATTATGCAATTTTGCATTAAAGTAAGATGAAAATAATACTCTGGAAATTAGTAATAAATGAATGTTGTGTAAACTCTCTAGCAGTGTATACAATGGCCTGTTTATTTCACAGTTAGTATTCTGACTAATTAGCACTTCTCACTGATAGTCACATTCTTTATATAATTTATTAGGGCGTGATGGTGGGTATGGGTCAAAAAGACAGCTACGTAGGGGACGAAGCTCAAAGCAAGAGAGGTATCCTGACCTTGAAATACCCCATAGAACATGGCATCATCACAAACTGGGATGACATGGAGAAGGTATTTAAGTATTTTGTTTATATGTATCACCATCAGACATAATTACATGGGGACAATAGCAACAGATTACAAAGTAATTTGAAGGTTGAAGTATCATGCTATCCAGAAATAATGTATTTTATTTTTTGAACATTAGAGCTGGTCTAGTAATCATTAACATATATGTGGTATCAGTGTTATTATTTATTATTTTACTCTCCAATGTGATGTGTACACCTGGCTAGTTAATGTAAGGTATGTTAACATTATACCCATTTTGTAGATGGGGAAGCTGTATCAGAGAGATTGACTTGAATAAGGCCACGTGTTCTGATCCTGCAAAGCATTTAAATTCACACATGACTTTCAAGTCAGTGGGACTACACATGTGAGCAAAGTTATGCACTTGGTTAGCATGACTGGGGTCCTAATGAATCAGTTGCAGAGCCACAATTCAAATCCAAGACTTAGTGCTTTGACAGCCAGGTCTGTTGCAACAGACTGTTGAAATTTATCTACAAGATGCTGATGATGCATCTATTTAAGGTAGTTTTATAGAATTGTGTAAGCAGTACACTACATCACAAACGTGCTGAGGCCTAGACCGAAGTTTTCCTATGAGCTTTAACGGCAGAAGGATCAATGCCTTAGCAAAATAGTGCAAGGTGCAAACTGATCTGTAATTACCAATGCTTTGGAAACAATCTACTCTATATATAGAGTTTGTCTGACTGTCTGTATGAGCAAGAACTCCTTCTCCTAAATGGTAAGACCTAGGACTACCACATTTGGTATACAGCTTCCTCTTTTCATAACTGAAAGCAATATAAGGGTTTGGTAATGCCAGGAAAATGGGCTGTGTGTAGAATGGGGTTGCTTCTCATAATAAACAAACAAAGAAGAGACAGGATCACCAAATCAAGCATAGTTCTCAAAACTGACATAACTCGAGTGAATGTTGAAAGAGACTAAACCAAGATGAGCCAGAAAAATAGGATGAATCTGCAGTAGGATCGCTCCTCAATAAACCTTAGAGAAAGGAGATAAAATGGAGAAATTTGGAGTAGTGCTCTGTTTTGGCACAGCTAACTCAATGCTTAAGGTTTGAAAACTAGAAGAAAATGTTATTGGAAACCAAATTGACTATAGCCCTTTTATGTTAAAACATAGCAAACGATAAGGGTGTATAAGGATAAGAAAAATACACTTGATGGAATGAATGTCCATTTAAAAATTTACTAAAAAAAACCTAAAATTTTTTAACAATCTCTTTTTTAAAGAAATCTGAAAAAAATAATTTAATAAAAATAACACTGTGTTTTAAAAAAAACACAAGTATTTAAATAAAACATGTACATTTTCCTTTTATTAAAAAAAAACACACCCAAAATCCCTTAATTGACTTAGAGACCCAAACAACACCAGGTATTTCTGCTAGGCTGCGTCTACACTGGCCTCTTTTCCGAAAGGGGCATGCTAATTTTAAACTTCAGAATAGGGAAATCCGTGGGGGATTTAAATATCCCCCGCGGGATTTAAATAAAGATGTCCGCCGCTTTTTTCCGGCTTGTAGAAAAGCCGGAAAAGAGCGTCTAGACTGGCCCGATCCTCCGGAATAAAGCCCTATTCCTTTGAAGTAGGAATAAGAGATCCTCCGGAATAGGGCTTTATTCCGGAGGATTGGGCCAGTCTAGACGCTTTTTTCCGGCTTTTGCCAGTCTAGACGCTCTTTTCCGGCTTTTCTACAAACCGGAAAAAAGCGGCGGACATCTTTATTTAAATCCCGCGGGGGATATTTAAATCCCCCGCGGATTTCCCTATTCTGAAGTTTAAAATTAGCATGCCCCTTTCGGAAAAGGGGCCAGTGTAGACACAGCCCTAGTGTTATATAACAAATTAAATATAAATAAATAATGTACAAGATGTTATTGTTCATCAGAATGTTAACTCCCTCCCTGCAGCTGACATGGCCCAAGGTTTTATATTTGGTAAGAATGAAAGTTAATAGTGGAAAGGTAATAGATAAGTATTTTTTTAAATCCTGTTAATTGAGTTTATTTAGAATAAAAGCAAATTGCTTGTGGGGCTAGTCACAGATTCTTAGGAAACAATTGACCCCAGAGAAATTCTACAAACAAGAAAGGGAAGTACCCACCCATGAACTATAGTCTGCATGTAGGGGTATGTCTACACAGCAGAGCTTAACTCAATTGTGTCAACTGAAATAGCGTATTTTGAAATAGGGAGCGTCTAATTTCGAATCAGAGCACTCTTCCTCCAACTTCCCTTATTCCTTGTACAGTGAAGGTTACAGGAGTTGGAGTAAGAAGTCCTCCAGCTTGACAGTATTTTGTCACTATTTTGAAATAATTGCCTGCTGTGTAGATGCAGAATAAGTTATTTAGGAATAGTGCTAGTTATTTCAAAATAGTGTTGCAGTGTAGAAGTACCCTAGGATACAATTTTCAGTAGCCCTGTAATTTACTGAATGCTATTACAGAGTCATCAAGATATTACAGCTAGAGGCCAGCTCCAAATTCACATTGGCAACATCTAGACTGGCATGATTTTCCGCAAATGCTTTTGAAGTTTTCCGTTAAAAGCATTTGTGGAAAAGGGCGTCTAGATTGGCACGGACGCTGTAAGCACTTTTTGCGGAAAAGCGTCCATGGCCAATCTAGACGCGCTTTTGCGCAAAAAAGCCCCGATGGCCATTTTCGCGATCGGGGCTTTTTTGCGGAAAACAAATCTCAGCTGTCTATACTGGCCCTTTTTCACAAAACTTTTGCGCAAAAGGGACTTTTGCCCAAACAGGAGCAGCATAGTATTTCCGCAAAAAGCACTGATTTTTTACAGTAGGAAGTCAGTGCTTTTGCGGAAATTCAAGCAGCCAGTCTAGATACAGCCATTGAGGGATGTTGGGAAACTGATTTGCAAGGCTATTTTAACTTCAATCTTTGGTAGAACTTGTGAGGAGTCTGCCCCAGGTTTGAAGAGCCAGATTCATTCGGGTCTTGGATCCTAATATGTGTCCTATTTACTGATGTTGCTCACTAAAAAGAGTCACAAAGTGATTGTAGCAAAGAACAGTTTGTAAACACAAAAACTGATAATTGTCTGCATAGGTGGAACTTTAATTATAATTTATTCCACCAACAAAGAGTCACTTGGCAGTCTCTAAGTTGCTCATGTACATATATTTTCATTGACCTTTCCTTCTGGAGTAAGAGGTTTCCTTTGCTTCTCTAAATGGAAAGATAGCTAGTATGAGAAAAAAAATGAATTCAAAACAGAGCTGTGATCCAGGTTGTTTGGGTGGATGCTGTTTTACTGCACATTTTTTTCCAACAATAAACTAAAGGTCTTTATCTGGTTTTTTTAAAGCTCAATGCATTTATTTTGTATTAACTTAGGAGTCCCAAAACTGATTTATAATAAGCAAAACATTATTAGTGGTAAAACCAGAAGTAGGTTGCTGATGCTGATCATGTAGTTCTCCACTCTGAATTCAGCTGTGCCCATCAGAGATAACTGCTGTCAGATATTGTTGGCCAGTTTCTGGGGCAAGAAGCACTTGCATCTATGGGGTATGGTACATGGCTGGAAGAAATTGTGATGCTTATGCACAGTTGGTGGCTGATGTTGCTTCACTTTGCCTTTTCTTATTGTCTCCAGATCTGGCACCATTCTTTCTACAATGAGCTGCGTGTTGCCCCTGAAGAGCACCCTACCCTGCTTACTGAGGCTCCATTGAATCCAAAAGCCAACCGAGAGAAAATGACCCAGGTGAGCATAGAATAGAGTAGGGTCACCATTGGCAGTTTAGAAAGGCCAGAGTGCTTCCCCTGCATGAAGAACACATGGCAGATGGGGAACCGAATCAACTGAGACACAAGCAACAAAGGATACATTTTCATACTTAGAGAATCACATGAATTGAGATCACTCACCTCAAAATTTTCCAGTAAGTTAATGAATGAAATAATGTTACATCCTAGAGAAGCAAGACCATTCAGAGTGAAGGTGTCACTGTACTTTGATCAGCTGTACTAAAACTCCAATAAAACTACTCACTTTTGGGTTGCTTTGTCCCACAGGTGACACAAATTTAGAAACTGTAGCTAGGGTTGAATATAACATAGCCACCAGAGCTCTAAATTTTGTCCTTTGCCCTGGCTAAATTAGATTTCCTAACCATATTTTTAAAAAGCTATGGTATAATGAAAGGACCAAGAACCAGACCCTTTTCTGACACTGTAATGGCATTGAGATGCTGTCTCTGAAATAATTTCAAACTCTGTGGAGTCTGTATGACTTTTACATGAGTATTGCAGTTAGACTCACAACAATTGTACATCTTATGCTATTAATACACATGAATATAAAAGAGTAGGTAAAGTGGCAAGTTATCAAATTATTGTTTGTAGGATTGTTGAAGCTCTGTTGGTCCCAGGATATTAGAGAAACAAGATGGGTGCAGTAATGGCTTCTATTGGAGTAACTTCTGTTGGTGAAAGAGACAAGCTTTTTAAATACTTTCAAAAGCTTGTCTCTTTCACCAGCAGAAGGTGGTCCAATAAAAGATATTACTTCACCCAACTTGTCTTTGTAGTTGTCATATTTGCATGTTTCTATAGTTAAATCTTTTTAAATAAGTTAATGAATCAATCAATACAAGTAGCCACATTTCAGCTTTTAAAACCTTTTTTAAAAGTGAAAGGCTATTTAAAAATAGAGTAATTCGTTTTTTTCCATTCAATATTCTGAAAATAAAATACTATAATGGAAGCGGTGTGTGCATGATTTTTTTTCCATTCAATATTCTGATTCCAGTTATTTGATTAAAATAAAATACTATAATGGAAGCGGTGTGTGCATGTTTGTGAGAGCCAGAAAAATGCACAACCGAACAACTCCAGAATTGTTGAAACCCTATCCTCTATGTATAAAATTTAGACAAAATACCCCTTGATTTTTCTCTCTACTGCTGCTTGTCAATAATTTGGACCAACTCATCCCCCTTCTTCCTCTCTAACAAGTTACTTATTTTTTATAATTAAAAAATGCCTCTAGCAACAGCAGTTTGGTATTGTTACATTTCAGATAATGTTTGAGACCTTCAATGTACCAGCCATGTATGTTGCTATTCAGGCTGTTCTGTCCCTCTATGCTTCTGGACGTACCACAGGTATGTGACTCTGGGATCTATGGGAAGGGAATATGTGAAATTTAAACAGTTTTTCAAAAAGAAATCTAAGGCTTACTGACACACGTACTGCCTTCTCAAAGGGATTGTGCTTGACTCTGGGGATGGTGTCACCCACAATGTGCCAATCTATGAAGGCTACGCCTTACCCCATGCCATCATGCGTCTGGATCTGGCTGGTCGAGACTTAACTGACTACCTCATGAAAATCCTCACTGAACGTGGCTATTCTTTTGTGACTACTGGTAAGGACTACAGTACATGAGCACATTTGTTTAACATGTACAATTCCTGATAGTCTGAAAGAGCAGTGGTTGTTCTAGAGCTGCAGCAGAAGCGTAAAGAAATTGAGCAGAAAACAAAATACCCACCCAGCTTTACTGAGAGAGGGTTTATTTTTACAAATTGTTTGGAAGACCTGGTAGGGTACAGTGATGAATAATCTGTTAAAATGCTTGAATCTTGAACTCCCATTCTAAAGTCTGAGTCCTGCCAACAGCTGAACGTGAAATTGTCCGTGACATCAAGGAGAAGCTGTGTTATGTGGCCTTGGATTTTGAAAATGAGATGGCCACTGCTGCTTCTTCCTCCTCCCTTGAGAAGAGCTATGAGCTGCCTGATGGGCAGGTGATCACTATAGGTAATGAGCGTTTCCGCTGCCCTGAGACGCTGTTCCAACCCTCCTTCATTGGTAAGTTAATTGATTTCTTCTCTCAGTAAATGATGCTAGTAGCTTATGCCTGTGCGCTTTTAAATCCTATCTATGCTTGCTCCACGTTCATTTACTTAGACTGCACATAAGGTGCTTATAGAATAGATGCATATGTTTATGTCCATTTTCAGTTAATGTGGTTCTCTAATGGAGAACCTGTCATGGAGTTTAATGTGGTCACAGATACCACTCCTGTCATGGAGTTTAATGTGGTCACAGGTCACCAGCTAAGTGACAGACACTTTCAAAACAAAAACTAGTGTCCTCTTTCGTATATTGCACAATCAGCTGCTAAGGTTTAATAGCCTGAGACCAACAAGTCACCCCCCTCCCCTCATTAGTAGACAATATGAAAGCTAATACGTGTTGAGGATCCCATTAGTAGATAATATGAAAGCTAATACGTGTTGAGGATCCAAAACCAATGCTTCAAAAAAATATCCAAGGGTCTAATTCAGATCTGGCTTAAGTAGATCACTATCATTGGGGTCCTGCCCACCACAGCCAATCAGAACTTGGCCTGAAGGTTTTATTTCTGCTTTGTCAGGATCATTGTTCACTGATCATTGATTCCCTGGGACTCTGTGCACTTCCTATAAAACCATAGCTACCAATGGATATTCAAATTTCACTTCGGTTTTCCTTCTCTATCCTTGGACCATTAAATGGAAGCTGTAAATAACTGTATTTCTGACCCCTTCTGGTCTCTCTCCAGATGCCCTCTGCTAGTGAACAGTCTGAGTATAGGATCATAGAATAATGGAATAGTAGAACTGGAAGGGATCTTGAGAGGTCATCAAGTCCAGTTCCCTGTCTTCACAGCAGGAGCTAGCACCGTTTAGATCAATCCTGCTATAAACTGCTAAGAAACGAAATAGAATGAACTGTAGGTCCCAGGAGAGGGCAGGAGTCTCAACCAGAAATAACAGTTACTTACCTAATGTTCCTAGGACAATAACTCTGAGCAGTTTTTCCAAACAAATGATTTCAGTAAATCTGTAAGGAATTATTACAGTCTGTTTGAAATTGAATGGAAAATTCCAATATGGACTTTACTCCTCTTGTTCTTGTTTTAAACAATCACAGAAGCAGTCTGTGCCCCAAATAACTTCTAACCCATGGCCTGGTCCAAAACTACATCACTCAGGCTATGTTTTGTTTTTGTGCAAAAACTCGCAGAGTGTCTACATCTCAAGTGCATTTTTGCGCAAGAAAATTTACAGTGAATTGACAGAACAGAGGAGTTTTTGCAGTATAGGTATTCCTCTTTCTATGAAGAATAATGCCTTTTTGCACAAGAGCTCTTAAGAAACATCTTGGCACCAACATACTCCCCAGAGATAACAGGGACATACCAATGCAGGCTTAGGACAGGGTCTAAAATGACATCATGATGGATAAAAATGTTTTGATCAAACCACCATGTACAAAGTAATGGGCAGTATTTAGGTAATGTCAGGACTGGCAACCTGATACGTCAGGAGTGATAGATGCAAACAAGTCACACGTTTACAAAAATGTACCTTAAGGAGGTTGGCCTTGTCTGGGGCAACAGAGAATCTCACCATTCTAAGTAGCTTAGCTGGCTGCAGAATGACTCTGCACAAGCCTTGGAGACTGGTGCCTTCTAAGCAGTGGCTTCTATTAATTTTACTTAATGCTTTAAAGACTACTACTACTTATTGCTTATTCTGAACCATTTTTTTCCACAGGCATGGAGTCTGCTGGCATTCATGAAACGACTTATAACAGTATCATGAAGTGTGATATCGACATCAGAAAGGACCTGTATGCAAACAACGTCCTGTCTGGTGGCACTACAATGTACCCAGGTATTGCTGACCGGATGCAGAAGGAAATCACTGCTCTGGCTCCCAGCACTATGAAAATCAAGGTATAGCACAATTATTTATAGACAAATTTTTACAAAAATGTGTGTATAGGGTGTGTGTGTGTGGGGGGGGAAGCTTCAGTTCTTTCATATACATGTTTTCTTAAATAATCACCAATATGTATCCTGCATGCAAGCAACAGGCCAGTTTTGCCACCCTGATGCATAATGAGATGTACCTTACTCTGGGCTACACTAACTGTACAATCTTCCCCAAGTAAGGGGTGGCAGGTAGGTGCATTGCCACAAGAGAGCAGAGATTAAATTGTGACTGAATCCCAATTATTTCCGGCATGAAGTAAATTATTGCACTCCTTTCTTTGTAGTAACTTATTCCCCCACTGTGCCTGGCCAATGACAGTCACATATTAGATTGAGCTCTGTGTAAAGCACAGCTTGAGTATGCAGAGCTGTTCTTAAACCCCAATAGCTTACTGCTTAAAACACTAGGACATGGGAGATCTAGGTTCAAATCCTCCTGCTGGTGTAGAGTAGGGACTGGAAGCCACGTCTTCCATCTCTCAGGTGAGCACCCTAACCACTGGGATAGGTCTCACCCTCTCTGTCCTGTTGAAGAGGTTTCAATGGTTATTTAAGGATTGTATTCCAAGAAGAGAAGGGACTCGAATTGGGGTCTCCCATGTGCTAGTGCCCTAAACGCCAAACGATTTAGTCAGTCTTGTCCTTTCGTCCAGTGGACATTTAGGAGCTTTATACAAAATGGGGCAGCTTCCACAGGAGGGACTGAGACCAACCCAGATTACACTATAGCATCAATAGAGCGCACTTGGGTGTAGGCCTCTGCTTCACAGTGTGAGCATTTAAAGCCAAGCCTCCCACACCCTAGCTCAGTGCTCTGACCAAAGAGCTTTGGGGAGGGAAGGGCAAAAGCACCGGCTCTTTATCCTCATTTTTCTTGAGGGGGCTGGCCTGGCTCAGGCACTTGACTCCAAGCGAGGGTTCCAGCCTTTCTGAGGGGCAGGGCTTAGACACACCCCCGTTCCTTGCCATTTTTGGTGGCTAGCTTAGGCAGTTCCTCCTCCACTTCCTGGATTCCATGACTCTGTTAGGTGACCGGTTTGCCCCCTGCAGTAATCAGGGCACCTGGGTGCCTTAGCCAGGATTGTGCATTCCCATGGCAACAGGGCACCTAAGTCCTCCTTGTGATTCCTACTCTTAAGAACTTTTGAAAATGTTTTCCAAAGTTAATGTGTTTCCCATTGATACCAGGAGTCTAAAGACTCACAGACTTGGCATTGCTTTCCCTGGACTTTGATCAGGCTTTCAGGAGTGCCGGAAGCAGTCTAGAAATGAGGAAGGGGCCACCGAAGCCCAAACTGTGGCTCCACCCCTCCCTTTCCCCATAGGCCCCGCCCTCACACACTCCTCTCCACCCCCATGTCACCTCCCTTTAAGAAAGGAAATGGGCTGTGGCCTCCTGGCACTCCTCCCCCCGTTCTGGTGACACTGCCCTCAGAGCTCCAAGCATTTCTAATCTTTTCTTTCCACTGATCACTTTCTAAAAAGATCCTCTCCTGTCACCACAATCCCTCCCTTCCTTGGCCCTGGGGATATTGTATTTTCCATATCAACAGGCAAGGGCTCCACAGAGAGAACCACTGTCCATCTCTCTGCACATGCAGGATTATTCCTTAATGTATTTTCCAATCCATTAGCCAGTTTAAATATTTCAAGAGTTGTAGGGGCTTCCCCTTCTTCACTTGCAGCCACTTATACTGCTTTTACTGTGTGTGCGTGCTCACTTTCAGTGTCAGCTAGGCTCTGCCTATACACTATGAAATATTGGATCTTACCCCCAATAAAAGATGAGCAATGCCAGCAAAGTGCTGATTTTCCAGAGGGGTTTTATTAACACTAAGTATCCTGGCTTTATTAGTTTTGCTAGCAAATATGCTTATCCCATAACACAAGGTGGTGTTTTTCCTTAACAGATCATTGCCCCTCCGGAGCGTAAATACTCTGTTTGGATCGGTGGCTCTATACTTGCCTCCCTGTCTACCTTCCAGCAGATGTGGATCAGCAAACAGGAGTATGATGAGGCCGGCCCATCCATTGTTCACCGCAAATGCTTTTAATCCGCTTATCTACATATTTTTCGCACAGTACTGTGAATGTATTCAGGAAGAAATATAATTTCTTATAATTTCATTCCAAAATCTTTCATACTAATGGCGCTAATTGGATACTATGTATTTTTTGAATAAATAGTAAATATGCTCCTTATAACCTCTTTTATTTTACAAATGTATGCACTCTTTTAGGGCATGTCTACACTGAGGAGGTATTTCAAAATGTCTCCCCTTATTTCGAAATAACAAGGCAAGTGTCCACACTACCAAGCCTGCTGTTTTGAAATAATGGGCTTGTTATTTCAAAATAATCACTCCTGCTTGTGAAGAGGAATAAGCTTATTTCAAAATAGTTATTTCGGGAGTTATTTCATAACCACCTGGTCATATAGACATAACCTTAGGCAACATCTACATTGTGCTCTCCTGCGCAAGAACATATGCAAATGAGTCGCAGCAATGAATAGCACTGTGCCTCATTTTCATACTTAATGAACTGCCATTTTTGCACAAGGGGAGCTGTTCTGCCTGAAAATAAGCAATTATTTAACAATTTTATTCTTACTATATCTATGGAAGCTCATGCCTGAGTCACTGAAGATATCAGGAAAGTGGATGCACAGTTGTGTTATAGTTTTGTCAGTTCCACAATATTAGTAAGACAAGGTGGGTGAGGTAAAGTCTTTTATTAGACCACCTTCAATTGGGGAGGAAGCGAGCCTTTCACAGTTACACAGAGCTCAGATGCAGGTCAGTTCCTTTGTAAACTCAAAAGCTATACTCTCTCTCTTTCTCTCACTCTTACACCAACAGAAGTTGGCCCAATAAAAGACAGTATCTTTCCCACCTCGTCTCAGGCAAATATATACTGAGTTTGTCAAACTATTGGTGAATACATTTCTCAGCAATTGCAAGAGAGCAACTGTAACTACCTTACACCAAAGTTGGGAACAATCATTAGAGCTCTGCATGGATACACAAGTGTATCTGTAGATATGCAGCTGTCCACAGATAACTGTGGATTTGCAGAGCTCTATACTGGCCTCTGAATCCCCGCAACTCCCCGTTTGGGGAGAGCCATGTGGGCAGCTGTGGGGAGTCTGTATGGAGTTGTGGAACCTGCACCTACCCATGGCTGGGTGGGGATGGGAACCCTGGTCTCCCCTCTCTCCCCCTGCTCTTCGTTGTCCCAAAAGTCAGTTTGGGGCTCTCATCAGGGCAGAAGCCTGTGCTTAGCCAGCTACTGGAGACAGGTAAAAGGAGTTCTGAGGCTTCTGAGTGCACATTCCTCCTCCAAGTTGATCCGATGTCTGACCTAGTCACCCCAGGAGCATGGGTGTTGAATACCTCAGCTGCATGTGTTAGGCTGCATGTGGTCGGTCAGGTGTACAGACCACAACTGTTGAAAAAAGAGCTGATGCACAGAAAATACCTAATGACAAGGCAGTTGACTGCACGTGTTTTACCAGTTGTTTGTTGCTCACTTTACTGTATCATGTTAGTCAGAAACATTTACAGATTTTGCTTTAATATACTGTGAACTCTGTCTTGACAGAACAAAATAACTTCAAAATGGCAAGAGCAATAAATATCAAACCATTAAGTCTAAAACGTATAAATATAAAACATCAGTAATTGCTGAAAAACACCATAGGAAAATCTGGCAGCAATTTTGCTACTTGGGGCCCCTATTTGGAGGGCCACTTAGCTTCCATCCACATCACCTCAGATCCAGCACAATTATTTTTGTTTCTTTCCCAACTACATGTTTACAGGTCTGTAAAAGAAAGCAAATAATTAGTTCCTGACAGCAGCCAATTAAGGTAATATATCATTTGAATATTAGGCAAAATTCCATGAGGATCAGCTCCAAACCAAATAATGAAAGAGCCGTTCCATATCCTGTATGTTCTTTCTGTTTTCTTCTACGTGACAGCTAAAAAACCCCAATCACTTCATTGTTCCCAATACTTTCCAAGGTGCTGAGTAACAGCCCTGGATACCGGCAATAAAATAGTAAGCCATTGCCAGGAGCACTGCAAGTTCTCTCATATGGCTCTGCCAGTGTTCCTCACCCCGATCTGCTGAGACCACTTCTAGCATAGCAAAAAGGCTAGTTCTGACGCCAGCTATATTCACATCTTCATGTTTTTGCTCAGCCTGCTACTAACAGTGAAAACTGATGCTCTCAGTGTTGTTTTATGAGGTCGAGGCTTGTTGTATCCACAGACCTAAAACCCACAAATGATTTCATGTAGGCCACAAGCACCCATAAGCTGGCAGTCACTTTTTGTTTATTACCAAACTAATGAGATAAGAGGAAGCCCCAAACCATGTAAGGTTTAGATAAGCACAAGCTTTAATATGTTATGTATTAAAGTGACTTTACAGAATAGTGCTGAAGAGTTAAATTTTGGCACAGGTTTTACTGTATCTGAATAGGCTGCTTATATTTTGGCTGGAAAAGCAGGAAAAAGTGGATGATGGGTGCCCACTATTCCCCATCTGGGATAGACAGAGAGCTTTAACTATACTCCCACCCCTGTAATGCCACTAGTCAGCAATACTGAGCTAGTTTAAGATGGGTCACATTTTTTCAGCTAATGTAAGATTAGCTGCCATTTGTTACTCCGATGGGGAAGCAAAGATGGATCTGTTCAACACAGGGTTCCATAGAGAAAATTATCCTTCATGGTGACTAGCTGTTAGCTCTGCAGATTTATTGGCCATCACAACTAGGAAAGTCAGTTGTGATTCTTTGTTAGAAAAAAAAATCTGTTAAGTGGTAATGAAAAACTTCTGTGGGAATTCTCTGGCCCTGGTGGCATGGGACTACTGTCCAGCTGTTAAGGAAGGCAAGAGGAGTATACTTTCCATGCTCAAGGAGCAACTGGAAATCCTAATGTGGGAAAGCTGCTTTTCTGGCGGATATTTTATTTCTCAAATTTGGCAGAGAGCTGTTCGTAACATTTACTGGTTACTGCCTGTCTAGTAGTGAGAACCTTTGTTTTACATTTTACATGGAAATAATATCTATAACCAAATTAAATTCTTTAGGTTTGGCTCTCTGGTGCAGTTACAGATAAATTAGTTTTAGTAGGGAACCACGAGTCTCAGAATCAAAAACTTTATTTAAAATAGAGTAGTGGTTAAAGTAAACAGAAATTACGATGAAACCATACACTGCAGTTATATTCACGTTTCAAGTTGAAAGAGTTCATCCAAGGGTGGTCAGTCCTTGGAGGAGAAGAATGGGTGTATAATCCTTCCATTAACAGCACCAAGATGGTAAATGTGTACTCTAATTTAAAAGTGAGTGTGCTACTCTTTTTTATAATCACTTAGGGTATGTCTACACAGCAGTGTTATTTCAGAATGACTGAGATTATTCTGAAATAACACAGTGCACACCTACACTACAAGCCTTTATTTCAAGCAGAGGACTTCTTACTCTGACTCATAGTAATCCTCATTTAACAAGGAGTAGGGATGTTATATATCAGTTAATTGAACAGTCAATTAACCTCATGAATTCTCATCAGTTACTTGCCTATCAGGCATGAATGGCTCTTAGAAGGAGGTATCAGGAATGCACCTGTTAGTGGGGGATAGGACTCTGAACTAAACATGGCCCAAAGGTATTAAAGGAAAAATACACTTGAACCTCTTTAATCCAGCAACCCTGGGAAACAGTGTATACTGGATTAAAGAATTTGCTATGTCAGAAAGGGTGCTGTGGGTCTAGGCATGAGGGTGATGGGAGTAGGGCACGTAACTGCACTCCACTCCTGGGGACACATGTGGGTCTGCACTCTCCTCTCCCCTCCCCCCCCCCTCCCCCCCCCCTCCCCACTGCTATGGGAGCAGTGGGGAAAAATCTCAGGGGAAGCACATTGCTGCACTGCCATTGCCCCAGCCAGAGGAGAGGGGGAGCAGTAGTGTGCAGAGCCACTTCCACCTCTGTCTGCCAGGATACATACCATGGGTGTTCCCAGATTAGGCACATCCGGAGCATGGAGATTCAAGTGTATAAAGAAACTCAAACTAATGCTGTTTACAATACAAACATGGGTGAAAATGTGGAGGAACTGATGGTTTTCTAGGAGATATGCTCTGGTTCAAACAGGAATTAATTCTGGGAATGCTATGGCCTGTATTGCAGCAGGTCAGATGAGAGAGTTACAATGATCTTATCTCTGGCTATTCTTTTGGAACATGTTAAAATATTTTTAAAGTAATATACCTACATTAAATAGTCGAGGCTCCTTAGTATGTGGGTGAAACCCCTTCTTTTTACAAGCAGAAACTTCAAGCATGCCAGCATTAGTAAGTCTGAAGATCCCAGTGCTGGAAAGCAAAAGAACAAAACTCAAGGAGTGTTGTAGTATTAAAAGAACTTGGTTCAAACAAGCATTAATCAGTCAAACACAAATTACTGCATTCAATACAGATTAAGGGGGTAAAATGTAATTGTCTCTGATGTACAGGAAATCAGAAAAATGATAAAAATGCACCTGTCTGGCATTAAAAGTTATGAGTCTATAAAATAAAAAATGTCTTGCCAGCTACAGCTGATGTATACTCTGCATTGAGTCTTTATTATTAGTAAAAAGAAATTCTACAGAAGACCAAAGAACCATCTGACTACAATTAAAGTCACTATGATTAATGTTCCAAACACTGAATAAAAAATAGATAATCAGAAATAGAAGTGGAGGGGATGGACCTATATAAACTCTTACTCACTGATTAGTCCCTATTCACAGGAGTAGTCCTACTGAAGTCAGTAGTACTACTCCGGTGATGAAGGGTGCTCCTGTGGGTATGGAGTTAGCAAGGTTGTTACAGAAGACCTTGGACCCATCATATGATGTACAACCATTTGCTGAAGACAGTTACTTTTGTATACTTTTGTGAATCCAGACCTTAGACCTTTGAAAGGAATAATGAAAGACCAATTTCCTATTCCCTGCCAATATGGATTAATATGGTGTGTGACCCTGCTAAATTTACTGAAAGAGCAAGAAAAGGGGGAGAAACAGATTCTTGTTGCTTCGCCACTATCCAGATCATGGCCCAACCATGTTCCAGGGTGTTACTGCCAGTTCTGGACCACAGGAACAATCATAGCCAGCAATGCATCCTGTACATGGCAGTTTTGCACAGAG